GAAGAACTGACTTTAAAGGCGCAGCCATTATATCTGCGCAGATGCAGGGAACTTCGAGGGCCTCCACTCGCGCCCTTTTCCCGTCGTACTGGCTTTGCAGCCACAGCTCGACCAGACGCGCTTTAGTGCGGGTTATAGCGGACTTGTCGCCGAAGGCATAGATTTTAAGTTCCTCTTCCCCAAGCACGTTCAACTGCAGTCTTTCAGACAACTTGCGATGGATGAACGTCCTTTGACTGCCACCATCTAGGAGAAGCCTGACAAGCGTACTTTTGTGCGGTCCCACTGTCCAAGCTCGTGCTGTTTGCAGAAGAAACTGATGCCCCTCCATGCACATAAATTTCTCCTCTGAGCCTAGAGAAGACTTTAGCACTGTGGCTTGTCCTGTCGCTGGTGGAGAGGATGCATTCTGTTCACCACTGCCACGGTATTCTCTGAAATCAGGATCACACATAGCCGTGAGGTGTTTTCCGCTACAGTTGGCACACCTGAGCCATTTGGCCTTACGGCACTCTCTTGACGTGTGCCCCTTTACTGTGCAGCGGAAACATCTATTCTCACGCTTCAGCATTTCTCTTTTATCAGCTGCCGACATCTCTGCATCGCAGTCACCGCTTTCGTGGCACCCTGACGAACAAAACAGACACCCTTTTCTCTCCTTGGTCATGGTATGCAGTGCAGCGGCTGAAGACATTCTCGCCGCTTTAAAGGTGCTGTTACGGTTTTCGACAGACGATTCTACACACATGCCCCTTGGTGTTTCGGCCCGCTGTATAATCTCCCGTGCCTCTACCTCGACTCTCAAAAAATGCGCAAATGCCTCCAGTTCACTGCCTCCTGTAGTAGCGCCCTTTCGTCGACAGTATTCGAGATGAAGGTCCGCAGGCACCGCCTTCTTTACTACTGTCAGGAGCAGAGCTCCGTACGTGCTGACACCGACGCCAAGAGAAGTGAGGCTCCGTACACCTCTCTCTACTTCGTCAACGAGGCTCCGAAGTTGGCTGAGGTTCCGCGAGTCACGCACTGACTTGATATTGAGCAGTCTGGACATGTGATCCTCGATTATGGCTTCTTTACGACCGAACCTTTCCTTTAACAGCGCGAGAGCAACTTCGTAGTTTCCGTCGGACAAATCAAGACCCGCAACGGCAGCCGCTGCTTTTCCTGTTAAGTAACTGTTCAGGTACTTGAACTTGTCCACGTTTGACAGGTGGTGGTTAGCGTTTATTGTCGTGTCGAACTGACTCCAAAAGCCTTGCCACTGTCGAAGCTCGCCGTTGAACTTTGCTATCTCTAGTTTTGGCAGCTTTACTGTGGGGGTTACTTGCGGGATGTTACGGCTAGATTCTCTTTGATCTGAGGAACTTGAGGTGCGATCTAGCGAAGCACTCACTGATGCGGCGTTAGTGCAGCTAAGCTCACGTAGCATGAGCTGTACTTTAGTCCTTGCTACGTTGATCTTTTCTTTGTAGTTCTCGGAGCATGCAATTTCCTCTTCTAATGCATCATCTTCTACGCCAATCTCAATTTCCCGATCTAGCTCTTTGAGTGAGTCTTCCTTAAGGGTGAGAAGGTTGATCTTTTCTTCAAGCTCAAAAAATGTTGTAGCGGAATAGCAGGGAGGCAGACTTTTTCTAGTGAGACGACGACAGAGAAAAAACACATCCTTTCAGTTTGAACGCATCACGAAGACTGGTTTATTCGTTCGCTATGTACCGCTGTCGTAGAGAGGGGAAGAAAAAAAAAGGAAAAGCAAACAGAGAAGCACAAGTATTGTCAAAGAGTTTCCTCCGCACCCCGCACGTGCGACGGTCTTCAAGGACAGATGGACAAAACGCTTTCCGCGTGTTCGAGAAGGGTCATTGTGGCCCTCACCCCCTTTTCCCTTCACGGCTAGGCTTGTAGGTAAAAACAGATGTCAAGGACGCCCTTCGCTCCTTTCGCATTGCCCGTCACGCGAACCACCCGAAAACGAGTCCCTCCGAGTTGCCCCTCCTCCCCCTCTTCGCCGCGGAGTCTTTCAATTAACGCTCCCCCGCAGCGGGGGCTGCTTCCCAGTATGCGACAAATACAACAACATTTATTATGACCCCACAATATGGAATTAGTACGGGCTGGCAATTCCAAGAATTCTAACATAATTTTTCTTGTCCATTAAAATGTCTTATACACACCTTATTGATAGTTATTTGCCTTCTACTGTTAACGCAGAGAAATATGAGCCATTTATGGCTCAGTATCATAAATATTTGGTGGCATAAAAAGTTTGTCCAATATGTATTATACTTTACAAATAGTCATGGCATAAAATGAAAACTTTACAACTTAGTATGAAACTAATTACATATTTGAAATTGGCATAATTGCCTATATATACAGCAAAAAACTTTATTGCCCAAGGTTACAGATTCAAGCAACTCTTTTTTTGAATAGCATCTCCCCTTAATTAAAAATTATGCAACAATCACGCTACACACAGATACACTGCATGTCAAGGCCACCAGCAAAGCAAGGTTGGCAGCAGTGATTTTTTTGTAAACATATTCCCAAGCTTTAAAGTGGCAAAACTACAAATTAATCAAATCAGAGGAAGGTAATGAACTAGTACAATTTGAATACACATTTCAACTGCCACAAAGTACACACTTAGGTGCATTTTCCCACAATTTTTTAGACAAACCAACCAGCGCAGCTGCTTTTAGAAGTGCTTTAAAAATAAAGGTGATATTCTGCTTCAAGTAAAATATACAAAAATGAGCATCATGCTGGCCTCCCAGAAGATAAGTTAGTCGCCTATTTACTTCGCATTGTTATGTGTATTGAACATAAAGGATAAACATTTGGTGCTTTTGTACAGGACTTTCATAGCTTGCAGCACTAGTTCATCTGCTTCCCAGAAATTCTTTGTGCAGCTTCTTCCTTTACCAGCACAGGAGGCTACAGTAAAATAACACATCTATGCATCTGGCCATCAAGACCAATGCCAAGAAATCAAAACGCACTATTTTGAAAGTACCTTTTTTTGCCCTAATGAATGCAAAATGGACTAGCAATGACGACTTAAAGAGGGTAATTACCCTTCTTAAAGGCGCAAGAATAGTTAAAGCAATCCCAGTGGTGCATGCATACTGCTATGAAAGCTAGAACTGGTGATCATTAAAAGGCTTTCATAATGGCGCCCACAAGGCTCACTTCAATACTTTTAGTTATTTGCAACAAGCTTCAAGAAATGTTACTATGATAATATTGTTTAAAACTTTAGACCATGGTCTCTAAGGTTAAGGCAGCAGAAGCTTTCTTTTGCAACATTTATCAGCACACGCAAGCAACACAGACGTCCCCACTTCTGTCATATTGAAGTCGTAACAACATCACCCCTTCCTTGTAATGGTCCTTATATAGTACATATTTCACATTTTCTCACTTCCCTTTTTTTGTCTACCATGATGTGAGGCAAACTTTTAGAGATTGTTAGCACAACCTGCATTGCAGCGGAGTTACCAAGCTACAGTCACTCTACTGTAGGCATCATATACATGGGGGCACTGGCGTCTGTAAGGAGGTGCCCCCCAAAAGGGGCACTTGCCCTCCTCCCGAAACACAATGCAACATGAATTTGCATTTGCTAAGACAAAACCCTGCCAATGCCTATGACGATTCTTAATGCCATCTAAGCAGCTTCAATGGAAACAGCGTATAGGCCCATATTTGTATTTTGGGCTTTCTTTTCTGCGGCATACAGTGGTGTAATACTTCACAGACACAATGACAACCTTACTATCTACACACCACTATTTTTCCTTCATAAAATCAAACCTGACGGATGGCATCATTCACAAGAAAAATTAAATAAATGTAAAATCAGAACCAAGTTAATGAAACATTCTTCTCGTTGAACAGGTGTTGGCAATATCAAAAGGGGACTTCATAACATCCTCTCTAACCCACTGCGAGCCTCTTTAGAACTGCCATGCATTCTGGCCTCCATAACTGGCATTTCTCTATTTTCCCTTTTAGCTTTGCTATCACACAAGTGACACACACATTGTGTATTAAATGCACAGTCAAGTGCAAAATATAATGACACCTAGAATTAACCAAGAATTTGCCTGCAACTTAGGCATTCAAAGTGCAATTTAAGTGAGATGTGCTATCATCATGAATGGGAGTATCCATAACAAAATTTGATCAGACGGGGTATGTATTGACTGCAACGAAATTCGGCTTCTTACGGTTCAGTGCTCCAAAACTCACGCAGTTAGACAGGGAGGATGGTAAGATGCATAAATTTTACCCCACCCTTCAACCAATGAGAACTGGTTGACTGATGTTAGTTTTTGAAAACAATTAACCAACATCAAAGGTTGCTTACCTCCCAGCAAGACATTTCATTCTTAATTGAACTCTGAAAGGCTGCACAACCCCCTACATTTCAATCTTAAAGAAAGCCTTAACTTCAAGCCATGAGTTCACCCTGAAGTAGAGTGATCCTTAGTTATGGCATTCACATGGCAACTGTAGCTGCCACACCACCACTTTTTTGCACTGTTTCACAATGTGCACATATAACAATGCAAACAAAAAAAAGTGGTCTTAGGAATTGGTACTTAAACAGATCTAGATGTAGTTTTCTAGCAAAAAATAGGTCATGTTCGCTGTATTTTCTTAGACAGTAGCTGTGTAACTTGCACACACCTCAAAGGATGTTTCAAAAAAAGTTGAAATTGAAGCTTGCCAGCAAGACATTGTCGAAAATAGCACTTGTTGAACAAAGACCCAAAACAAGGCACACGACAAAGGTGCAAAGCATCACAAAAGCATGTACAAAGATTACAGACACATACTTTAAGTGAAACGTTTTTGTGCCATGGAGCTATTCACTCTATGTGGCCATGATTTCTATACAGCGACAGAACAGCCACAACGACACAACATATCAACTCCATTGCTGCAGCTCGTAACTAACGAAATGGACACTGTTTATACTGCCCCACAGTTACCTCTTTCAATGGCTCTAGGGTCCTTAATGTTGTGAGTTTCCATTCATGAATTACTGCTTCCACTGAAGCAATAAACCTGCAAATGAAAGAATTCAAAGCTTATGTAATGAAGCCTACAATGGACGCTGTCATTTATGCGTAAACATACAGACAATAAATAACACCGAATTTAAACAAAGGCGGTATCCTTTCAGAAACAAAACGACAAATATCACCATTTTTATTTTCTTTAATTCTTACCAGTGAAGATCTTAACAGTAATAATAACACCGAAACGTACCTTTCCCATTCCGTCGATGTTGTAAAATCCGTGATCTCATACAAGTCGGGGTCCTTCAAAGAAATATGCATATTAGTAATACAGCTCCTACATTTTGCTTCCACTCGCTGCATGCTAGAGTAGTAGCTTACTGCTCAAATGTTTGCCTGCACCTGTCATTATCACATATTGTCACTCTATTGTAATGCGACGGGTGTTCACCAGGAGTAACTAGATAAATTGTAAAACGCGCCAGTGATTTTTCTTCTTTTTTTTATTTCATTCTAAGCACAGCGAAGACACAAGTGGCACGTGAGGTAGAAACTTGTGAATAAATACGTGAACTAAACAATTCACTCAAAACGGTTCCTGCGGAGCACACATAGATCCAACAGTGTCACGCAAGTTTGGTGGCTGAAATGCAAAACGCATGCAAACCACGAAACGCACCTCGTCGAACAGGCCGTCGTCTTCCATGCCGTAAACGTCTCGAAGAAACCGCTTCTGATTACTGCGGTCTGAGAAAGCGAAACGGAAAGAACGCTCAGGAAGCACAGCGTGAAGTCAAGGCAACATGAACAGAGATAAATATCGAATACTGCAACTCAAAAGTTCCTTCTTCGATAAGCGCGATTCCAGTATCTCTTGCTGATCTTATGTTGGTGCGCTGTTGTGTACGATGCCGACGATACGTCTTGTGCTCTACAACGCTGCAGTTCCGGTTTACCGCTTCCGGTTTTTATTAACATGGCCGCGCCCACATCTGAGAAAGGTGGTTCGGGAAGCAGAGCAAAATATGGAAACTTTAACAACTACTACCAATTCAACAAACCGGAGGAGCGGCTAAAAATGCTACCAAAAGACTTGGTGACCTTTTGTAACTTGACCCAGCAGTCCCAAGTTGTTGCCCTCGACATTGGCTGCAACAGCGGGGTAAGATGCTCTCTCTTTAAAGAATCGAGCGTTAAGGCTACCAGTAAATAACTAAGAGTGTCATCGCACTGGCTAACCGTCGTCGCTAGTTTGTGTTCATTAACCAGCTCAACAGCTCAAAAAAAAAAAAGTATGACATCAGTTGCTGTTTGAATCGCTTGTGTGTCTTTGTGAAGCATGTGGGTTGCTAAAATTCTTCGGGTGGGCATATGACTAGGCTGTAGGTACGTTAAGCTTGCGTAGGCGCATCGAAGATGTTCTACTACAGTGTTTATTCCTTTTACTTCCGTAAACGCAAAACACTACAGTGAATCTCGCTTGGACCATGACGAGATCTACGAAAAAAAAAAAATCTTTGCGTTGATCGACTTATGTATGCACGCAATTTTCGAAAAAGAAGTGCCGGAGTGCCATAACAAAAGAGTGGTTTGCGTATGACGCATCTGCAAGGGCGGAAACCAAAACCCAGGTCACTTGCGTTCGCAAAGCTCTGGATACCCCCTTGTAAAGCCATTTCCGTTGGCCAATTTAGAAATGTGTGGGTCCGTATTTTAAAGACAAGTTCAAAAATTTTGTTTGTGAAGTATGCATGTTGAGCATTAGCTGTTACATAATGAAATATACGTGTGCTCAACAGTAACTTAAATCGGAACAGTTGCATCTTTTGCGGGTGCATAAACTTGTAAAAACATTAATTGCAATCAGCTACTCTAGCTGCACTGACCGAATCATGCCGCTCTTTGTATTTTCATAGATTAAACCAATGGAGTAATTAATTGCCTGAGTCACATAAATGAAACAACATAAATGTAATGTAATAATGCAAGTGTAATGTTCTTTCAGTCCACTTTAACTTTCATTGCTCTTTGTTCTGTAAAAGGGTGAAAGAGTGATGAGTGTCATAAGTATTGTTACTCATCTAAGCGGGCAAAGGTGAATCCAAAAAATTCATACTGTTAGGAAACCGCCGAGAAAGGTTTAGTTAGTTAAAGGATATAGGTGTATTAAATAATTGGGCACGAAGTGTCCTTTCAGGTTTTTTCGTTTGTGTCCTACTCATCTGTCTCTCATTTGTGTGTACTTTCAAGTATTTTACCATGAATCTATACCACCTAGCCCACCTCTCTACCCTTCTGTAGTTTTTATACACAAACTTTATAGCTTTATGCATCAGACCAATAGTGAAAAAACCCCTGCCAACCAGCTGTGTAGCTTACACGAAATATGGGCAAATAACTGACCCTAAACGAATATTGCCAGTTAATGTATACCACTTGTTTAGTGTCTGTGCTGTTGTTTATGTCAATGTTGCTGTTTAATCTAGCATGTCATAACAGTTTACTGAACCTGTGAGCATTCTGCTCAGATAATAGTACATGTAGTGAAACTGTCAAACACTGTTTATTGTTTGAAGCAAACTTGTTTTTTGGCAACACAACACATTGAGGGAGTGTGCCGATAGAAGCCTTTTTATTGGTTCTTTGCAGGAGCTCACAACTCATCTGTACCGAAACTTGGCTTCATCAAGATTGGCTGACGTGAAAATGCTTGCCATTGACATTGACAGTTCATTAATTGAATGTGCCAAGAAGAATTGTTCATGTCCTGAAGCAATAGAATATGTGTGTTTGGATATAACAAATAATGACAGTACAGAGTCACTGATATCTTACTTGAGAAAAGTGGGCAAGGATGCTTTTGACATTACGTTTTGTTTCTCGGTGACCATGTGGATACATCTAAACCACGGTGACCGTGGATTGAAACAGTTTCTTGAAACTGTCAGTAAAAATACGCATTTCCTGCTTGTAGAGGCTCAGCTTTGGAAATGCTACAGAAGTGCTTCAAGGCGCATGAGACGTGGCAATGAAACTGAGTTCCAAAATCTTGACACACTCAGCATGAATGTCAATGTAGAAGACAACATCCATGACTTTCTGCAAGGCAGGTGTGGCTTGGAGGTGGTTGAATGCTTTGGACAAACACAATGGGGCAGAAAGGTGACCTTATACCAGAGAAAAAAAGCTGTGTGATCTGAAATGTATATACTACCACGCACATTGTGCATTTATGGAATGGACTTTCCACAATCATTCCAGAATAGTTCATGTTTGTACACCAGCACTTACTGTAAGTTACCTTGTTCAAACATAGAGCCTCCTTGTGCACATGATGCGGACATCCCACTTTAGTCTACAAATCACTTTTGTTATATTCAAAGCAGCTCTTTGACTAGCCTATGTAACGCTGTCCCTCCGTCTGCACCGCGCTCCCCTAGCTGCAGGTGTTGGGGCTGTGCCAAGTAGGCTTTCTCTCGCAGTGCGCACGCATTGACTTCACTCTCTTCCTAGACTGTCACCGCTCGCGGCGTGTCATTTCTCTCTCTTCACCCTCTCCTCCACTCGCAACGTTGGAGCGCACATGGAGTGGAAACACTCTTTCGGCTCGTTTATCTGCCATGAAACTCATACGAAGCTCAACCCGCCTCCTCTGTCTTTGCGTTTCAGAGAAACGTTTACTTGAGTAAAGGCTACACCTAGTTTCGCTTTAAACCATTCTTCCAGCACCCGCGTCGACGTTCGTTTCAGTTGAGTCAGCAGCGTGCGCATCGCTGCTGCTTCACATCTCATTATGGTTCCCTTCGGGGAGATGGTCCATACTTTTTTTATATTTATAATGCATTGTGCTTTTGCTGATTGACATTTTGTATTGCATGTACAGTAGCTCTTTACAAAGAACTGGAGTAACTCTTATTGTCAAACTATACTTGTAAACCACACCTGTGATGCAACATGTGCCAGCTTGTGCTTGCCCTACTGCATTTAGATTTGTTGTGATACATCATATATCACTGTGGCGCCCTGTAATTGCAAAGTAACAGATGCTCATAGTCGTATTTAATATTTTCATTTCGTGAAACTAAGTCAACCAGCTGTGAGCAACTGTGAAATTGTCGCAGTAATTTATGCAGGTTGAAATGCAATTTTTTTTACCTACTGTTGAATGTACACATTAGTGCTGACCTAAAATAAAGAAAATTGACAATTTTTGCATTATATGATGATTATCATTCCTTAAAATTCCCCTAAACCACCCAAAGCTCTAAATTTAATTTTGTTGCAGTAGTGCACGAGTCTTCTACAAACATGCAGCCTCCATAATCTTTTTATACGGTACCGTAACAGCGGAGCTAGATGTGTGTGATGATCCAAAAGTGACCTGCCCCCGCTTTTGGATCATGATACCACTCGTCTGTCCTCCTGGCTGAGTGTGCCTTCCTGCTCATGTACCTATGAGCACACAAACAGGTTTTTTTTGTGGATGGCGTGACCAGATGCAAATCTTGATGTCACAGCCAACACTGGGGATTAGCAAAAGACTCGGAGAGAAGAAGAGGTAAATTGTGGTGCACCCACAGCTCGCTGCACTGCCACGTTTGAAATTTTTCATTGCGACAGCATACTGAACTCAATGTGCACATTTACTTCAAATGTTAAAAACAATCATCAGTGGCACTGACAATATTGTATTGCTTCATCTAATTTATTAGTTAGCCATTGACTCAGAACTAATGGTCTCAAGCATCAAGTCCGCAAGAATGCTAAAAATAGTCCATAATTCATGTCAAGTGCAGTGCACTCTTTAGTGTACATGAGGAATATTTGCTATGGCACATTGCTGAGCTAGTTGGTTTGGATTCGTAATTCATATGGTGTAGCGCATCACGGCAGGGACAGAGGGGACACACACACACAGCACTAACTTGCAACTAATAGTTTTATTTGTGATCACATGCTATTTACACAATAACAGTAGATTGATAAAACTGAGGGAACAACTGTAAAGATACAGCACAGAGCACGCATGTGTCATCACTAATCGCAACAATCTGCACCCACTTACATCGAACAATGACTCCAGATACCTTTTTCTTGGCTGACAAAGCTAAGGAAGGCACACTCGCATTTTTCTTTCGTCTGTTTCGTGTGCTTCAGTTATTTTGCATGTAGTTCTGCCACGGGCCTTACATACTAGATTATGGGTGTTTTCAAACATTGGGATGCAACCACAGCTCTGAGAGTGAATGCCCAAATGATTATATACAGCTTTTTCTACGTTGTACAGGTTTTCTCCAAGTCTTTGGTTATTGCACCTTCCAGTTTGGCCTTTGTACATGTGTTCACACAGTGCTGCATATGTGTGTCCTCTGTCCCTGTCATGATGCACTACATGACACGATATGAATTATGGGAAGGAAATAGTTACGTAGTGGATCTTGAAAATGGCGGTCACATCATATAACACGCCACTTCTGTGCACACCGGTCTGTCATGGATTTGCAGTATTTGAAGGCTAAAGAACTCCAGAGTGACCAGGCATAACGCCAGGATATTTTACCTTAGGGGGGGGTGTCCTTTTGAACCCTCAGCTGGCGATGCCTCCGAGTGTCACTCAAAGCTGGCCTTGCACTTCCAAACCGACCTTCCCGGGAAAGCCTTTCGTGTGCACTTCACTTCCAACCGTCTAAGCTTTCTGTTCTGGTGTTGCATCTCTGGGAATATGATGGATCGCAACACTTCAGCAGACTCTGCTTTCAATGGCACAGTCATAGTGTAGACACACACAATATGTCTCATCACATCACTCCAGCATCTCTGTAATAACCAGCCTCCTGTTATACGAAAAGCCGCACTTCACTTGGCACAGATAGTACATTTGTTCTATCAAGGGTACATAAAAGTGTTATCTGTATTAAAATGTGAATATTTGTATGAATATATAGTCATGCTATTCAATTCAAGAATTTGCTATTCAAGGCTGTTGATAATTAATTTTAGGATAGCAACGCTTACTGGAGCTTGAGCCAGAAAAACAGATATGAAAACTGTTCAGAATGATTAATCTGCAGCATAATTGCAGTTGTGCAGTACGAGCTGTTCACAGAGGTGAAGCCATGTGGTGGCACACTGGGCATGTGCTCCTGCCAAAATTTCTTCGTGCTATGAGACGCAAAGCACAAAATGGCGCTCGACTGCATTTACCTCTCTGGTCCCCACTTCAGATCACTAATGTGCCCTCACCAAAACAAATTTCTTCCTCCGTTGCTGGATGTTAATTAACAAATGACCATGAATACATGATGGCTGTAGGGTAAAGATTGCATGATGATTGCCACAATATAATGCTTTAAAAATTATGATGGCAGAGTGAATAGTGATTTTACAGAATGATAACCGTGGCAGCATTGATGTGTCAAAGCTCATGTGTATATTAAGAACATCACCTGCTACACTAGGCTCTCCCTGTTTGCCTGATAAGTGTCCAGTTCAGATTTTGCTCTATGTCCAGTATCAGCTGATCTTGAAAAACTGCACTATAATATTTCCATTCCTAAACATACAATGAGCTATCAACCAACGTAAGCATGCAGCAGTTAGCTAGCTGAAGCTGCACCAAACCTGGGAGAGTAGACAAAGAAAGCCTTGCTTTAATTGTGCTGGGAAAAGGCTTTCATTGGCACAGGTGTGATGAACTAAAAACTTTGAAGAAACAGTCCATCATACCATAACCGACTGTCTAGTAAGCTATGTATAAAATGAGAAATGTCCAATAGGTGACAACAGATTTTGTATGGATGTGAAATGTTTTACAGTGGGTGTTTCTTTGCTCACCCACTGTCAATCACAGTACTGTGATCATGTTCAGAAATAGTCTATTATCTCCTCATTCAGTATATGAAAGCCTTGAGGCCTCAAGAACTTCAGGTTTTTATGTATGACTATATTAATTGGGGAAGTACTAAGGTTACCTTTTTTTAGCTTATGGATCATGCATTGGCTGATCTCATCTCCCCTAATAGACACAGTCACCATGTTGTAGAGAATAAAAACATCACAAGAGTCGAGTGATGCTTCAATCTCACTTCAGGAAATTTAATGGAGTTGAGGGATAATCACTGTGATGCCTGACATTTCAGTGCAGAATGTTTCTTTGGTAATAAATTCACAACACATAATAATAAAGCATCTATTCTGTCATGCACTTCGCTGCCCTCTCCACGTCAAAAGTAGCTCTGGAATATTAGTAGGCAATTAATAATTAACTATAATGGCACTTGAATGCATCAATAAAACACATTGATTTTCCCGAAAACAGTGTTCCTGATGGGCTCAAAATAAGATGACAGTGGGCATCCACAGAGAGGCGATAAGCAACATTATGATCACTGTGACATTTCCAGTCGCCGGGTGAACGTGGTTGGTGATCATGTAGAATCATGTGTACACTGCTAAACACAAGGGGTGATTGTCCCGCACAAAACTGAGCACATATGCTTATCAAGATTGCTTAAACGTGCTTTGCCACATCACACAAAGTGTCTGCAGTTCTATAAAGCAGAACACTGGATAACAGAACCCATTGTAATAGGTAAGGAGATAATGGGATAGTTCCAAAGTAACCCTTGAACACTGAAATGACCCTTTTGACAGAGTGCACAAAAAAAAATAATGAAACGTTTAGTGATAATGTTCCACCCACAGAGCAGTTCCCTGCTTTTAACTTTACCTGCATGGCAAAACAAGCTACAATATGAGCACTTTTTGTAGAATGTCGCAATCTTGACCTAAATGTCACAGGGCTCTTTTTGTGCCATGTAGGTGTCCACACCATGAGGTACCACAATTAGAAGTCTGGTCTCATCTTGGCATTAATGCTTCTTTCTTTTTTTTTCTTGATTCGTGGTAGCAATGATGCATATTGAACATTGAAATGAATGACATGATTGAAGTATCTAAGTTTGAAATTGTGGCACAGTGCTCAGGAGGTTGTGCTCTCAAGATTGAAAGAAGTTCTGACAAAGTTTCTTTTTTTTTTCTCCCCCCTTCCTCTTTCCTTGAGGGACCCAGCAACACTTTTTTAGCATGGTCAAAAAATGCTGCCAATTGGTAGTCGATGCTCCTGAGATTATGTAAGCCAAACATTATAGGACAGCAGGCACCCTAAAACGTATCATTAATTTTCAAAGCTCCCTTTTCTTTCCATGCCAAATACATAAATTTATGGCCATTGGCTAATCTGAGCATCATGAGCTGCGTAGTTACTAAGGCCGCGCCACATGCCCGCTCTGCATTTGCGATCACACCAAAAGTAAGAGGCGCTCTCGAAGAAAAAGAAAAAAAGGGCTCAAGGTCACAATGTGCATGTGACGTTTTTCGCTGTGCCATTCCACCCTACATAGCATCCAACAAGCTTGTTGGGATGAGAGAACACAGACAGCAGTTACAGGGCACGACAAACCTCTATCTGCAGTTCCTCTCGTACTTGACGGATTCTAAAAATTTTTGCAGTGGTCAATTAATGAGGCCATAAACTCTCTTAATGAAACCATTCAATAGTTACTTGAAAAAGTTTTGCAGGGCCCCCTTAACAGCAGAGCTGTGTATGCCTGAACACAACTCTGGTGCGAGTGAGTGAACTCATGATACCGAGCATCATTCATTTATTCTGAAAAATATGAACTTAAACTGAATTTGTGTGTTTGTGAGAAAAAAACTCTATGCAGAGGTATGTGCCGGAAAAATTGGGCTAACCCCACTACTCACCACTGGTCTTCTAAAAATGAAAAGAATTCACGGGTGGCAAACACCAATTAAGATCTTGCACGAACACCATGTGCGCGCGGCAAGCCAGACAAGGCAACACATGCCACACAAAGGAGAATGCTGCAAAAATAAGCATGCTGCTCAAATACAAAACTTTTAAGGAGCATACACTAAATTCAGGTCAGACTTTTTGAACCGACATTTCGTGTTTAGTTGCAGGGTTAGTGATTAGCTATGGTTCAAAATTCTGTATGTGTCACCTCTGTTTCACGAGCTGAACAGATTTGTTGGTCATCTGCCTTCACAAAGTGAAATGGCTTTTAAACTTTCTTTGTCATTTTTGTTAACAATGAATTATACACATTCTTTAAAAACTGTGCTTCAAGCATACTGAATCAAATACTTAATACTACCATAATCTGAAACAACATCAGGTATGAAATTTGCAAGGA